TTTTCCTCAAATCATCACGATTTTGAGGGCATGAATAAACTAGTTCTAAGTGATTGGATATTAGCTCGAAGATTATGTAAGGGACGTGAGTAAGACTAATTTCTGACGTTCTCATTCTATTAATCTTTAATAAATGAATATCGAGCATGTTGAATATATTAAATATTGTGATAAATTCTCTTTTCCTTGTTTTCGTTTCTCACACTCACAATCAGATAAAATCACTTCGCGAAAAAGCGTACTTTTTAAAGTTAAAAAAAAATGATCAAACATACTTCATTTTCTATTTATCGACACTAATCATCCAATGGATATTCAATACAACGCTTCTATCGAGAAAATAAAAGCTAATTTAGATCATTGTGTTACAAGATCACTGATTATTCGTCAAAACTGAGGTGATTTGGACGAGATGGAATAATTATTAACGGTATGCGATGGATAAATGAAATATTTATTTAAACAGAAGAGTTGGTTGATTCGAATTAAAGAGTTATTTTAACAGAAGGCCTAATAAATATTGTTGATTTAAATGAAACAAATTCTGTGCAAGTTTTTTTTTTATTTTAAATACCGACAGACTGGAATTCATTTTTTATTTTCAAGTTCGTAGATACAACATTACGATAGGATCGAAAACTGACAAATGTATATATACCCTTACTGCTTTGATTTGTAGCAAGCGCGATCAAATTACTTCCAATGTTTAGACAACTATATGTAGTAACCACGTTCGTTTATTCTATCTTGAGGGTGAGGGTATAAAGAACAGAAATACACACTTTCACCCTAAAGTCTTGTTTATGAACTAAACCTCTTGACCTATCATATTCAAATAATGATGATAAAGAAATAGGTGAAATATCCATCACTAGTGTTAAAATATCAACATAATTTTCTAGAAAGCAATGATAGTAGTTCAACAGTTTTCAAGAAACTCTATATAAATTCGTTAAAGAATTATCTAAAATCTCATTTTCTTCTAATTACTAATAAATTGTCTGTAAGTTTATTTATCTAAATATGTTTCATTAATATAACCTTCTTCGATGTAAGAAAAATATTGAGTTTATATAAAAAATTTTCTTTCTTGCTTTATCATTCTTATCTTAATGTGCACATATAGTCATGTCTCTCTGTGTCACGTTATTTTTTTTTTCATTTCTTTCTTAGTCCGTCACTAATGATATCCTTCGTTCGATTTTTTCTTTTCTTTGCACGCTTCACAACTATCGCTCCCTATCGTTTTTTTTCACCATTCATTCATTCGTGTAGTTGCATTGCGTCGAACGATTCATTTCTTCTGCGTTATATACATACATTTGAGTCAAATAGTGAGTAGAGAATCATCGTATTAGTTCACACAAAGACTTCTTCATTGCCATGGTCGATTTTACTCTCTCACCAGAGCAAAAGACACTTCAGATATTTGCACGCACCTTTGCACAAGAAAATCTCTTGAATGCTCATCTACTTTATCAAGATTTACCAACTCCGCACCAGAGATTTCTTTCGACCAAGTCAATATACGAGAAAGCAGTGCAAGCCGGTTTAATCCAAGCTCAGATTCCAGTCTCGCTAGGAGGAAGTGGAGGTGCAATGATCAATGGAGCATTGATTTGCGAAGAATGCTATGCAGTCGAGTCGAGCGCAAGTTTAACCATATTCGGTACCGGATTAGGAATATTACCAGTCATTCTGTTTGGCTCCCCTGACCAACAAAAACGTCTTCTTCATCCATTCATTCGCAAGCAAGATGCGCCTCTAGCGAGTTTCGTTTTTTCTCAACCCGGTGGTTCTGCCAATTGGAAGACTTCTACGACATTTACCACTGCCCATTTGGATGGAGAACATTATATTTTGAATGGCGAGAAGAAATGGGCTACGAACTGTGCTGGCTGGGATTATTCAGGTGCGGATTTACAGTGCGTCGTGGTAAAGATCGAAGAATCTTTTGCCGTCATTGCTGTAACATCTGAGAATATAAAGAATAATACGGATGGAGCATATACGATCGTGGAAGACATCGAAACCATCGGACATCGTGCTGTTTCTGGACCACATATAAAGTTCACTAATCTTCGAGTACCTATTTGGAATCGACTCGATCAAGATGGTATCAAAGTAGTCGAAACTGTTTTTACCGTCTCGGCTGGTCTCGTTGGTTCCTTTTGCACTGGTGTTATGCGTGCATCGTTCGAGAAAGCACTAACATTTGCACGGATGGAGAAGCGTGGAGGGGATACGTTTATAATCAATCATCAAAGTGTGAGCGATATTCTTACTTCGATGAAAGCGATGTTGGAAGCGTCAAGATATTTAACGTGGAAGGCGCTACACCTTTTCGAAACGACTGGCAATGGAGAACTTTGTTATCTTGCCAAGATCTTCGCAGCCGATCATTGTGTTCAAGTGGTTTATGATGGAATGCGGGTGATTGGCGTTGATTCTTACGACAGGAAGCATGGATTCGACAGACTACTTATGGATTCAGGTGTCTTTTCGCTATTCGATGGTGGCAATGTTGGAGTACGCAGACGTCAAGTTCAGGACTTGTTTAAGAGTGATACCTATGACCCGTTAGGGGCGATGGGTTAAATGATCATAATGATATATACTCACAATCTAGGAATTAACAATTCTATAGAATTCTATGTAACGAAGGAATTCAATGACAACCAGAATTACCCAGAGAAGGAGTTCAAACAAATCTAGCGATTCCAAAGAATTCTATTTCACTATGTCAAAGGAGAGCATACTCATCTTAAGCGTTTGGACTTTGTTGAAAGTCAAAGAATTCAAGCAAATCCAACAAATGTAACAATTCAATATAATTCTATCCGTTTTACTTCTTTTGCCAAATTTGTTTGAATTTCTTCGATCTGTAATTGTCTTGAATCATAAACTTATGTAGAATTCTATAGAAATTCCTTGATTTCTAGTTCATGGACATAATGGACATTGCTGAAAGTTTGATTATTATTTAAATAAAAATAGTTTAAATCAATGAATAACTGTAGGAGGTTGTGGAAGTGGGTGTTGATTTGAATGAACGACTTTGTCCAAAACCAACACCCACATTCACACCCATTTTTGTTTTTAAATCATCAAAATCAATTCTATAAATAATAATGAAAAAACTTGAAAGTCCAACTAACTAATAAAAAAGAAAGACTACAAGCAAGAAGGGTACATCAACAAGAAAATGTTAACTTTGATTATTTCTTCTTTAAATCAACAGATATAATTGTTTTATACAATATTTTTTTGTGCCAAAGAGTACATTATCCTAACTTGACAAAGTTAATCAATGCTATGTCAAGCGATGGACTTCCTTTTGCATGACATGGTGTCAAGCCTGTTCCGAAGGGTTTATGAAGTTAATAAACCCTTTAAGGGTATATTACAGCTCATACACCCTAAAAGGTTTATGAAAGTACAACGAATAAAATACTCTTCCTAGGATTTATGAAGGAAAATGGTATTTGAAAGGGTTTATGACACTAAAAGCGTATATGAAAGCGTTTATAAGGTTAATAAACCCTTTTGAATGGTTTATTATTCTACGCCTATTTTTTACAGTGTAGGGACGGGTACAGCTCGAACTCCAAAAGATATAAAAGTAAATTTTATACTCGATGAAAGCCCGTTGAAAACGAAATATAAGAGTATGACTGGTAATTCATAGGATGGCAATTAACTATAGGATTAAAGAAAGTTTCAAAATTTCAGGAATATTGTTGTATAATTTTATAGATAGTTAGCACTGATCTAGTACACAAAGCTGTTGAGATTTTTTTTTCCTATTTTGAGTCTAGCACTATCATTTGCTTATCAAACTTAAGTTCTGTTTACCAAAGCGACCAGGAAAGAGAGCTCTACAAAGTCTGATAGATGAAAAAATTTTGTGGAGATGCTTGTGTTTTTCGTGGTTGACTACTCATGTAAGTACTCAATCATCTTGCTAGAACTTTGAAAATTTTCGTAACTTTATAACCCATTATCATCCTATGAATTACCATTTACATTCCTAAATCCCGTTTTCGACGGGCTTTTATTTGGTGTAAAATTCCCTTTTATATCTTTCCGTGTTCGCGCTGTACTCCTATAGCAAAAGGTTATGCACAACCCTGTACCCTGTTCATTTGTACCAGATACAACAAAATAATTATCAAGCTAGATATTTTTCTTTTACGAAAAATTATTTTTAATCGAATAAATGTTTGACTTCAACTGATTCATTCATAATTAATTGACGGTCAGGCGTAAAAATATTTGTATCAGTAATAGATTTTTTGTATTCATTTTTGGCAAGAATAGGAAATCGTTTAATAGCATTGTTTAATATCCAATTTATGGACGATTTCGTAAAACATAATTAATTCAATTAAGATGATTGATAAAAATCGTTCCAATCGTCCGGTAAAAGAGAAAAATGAAATTTATCTGAAATACCATTTGAAAAAATAGCTTTGGGTTGATGTAGAAAATCACTAATTAATACACTATGATCAATTAATAATTGAATACAGAAACGTTCTTCTGGATTATGAACAATTGGAATATCACTTAGCAAATCTTCTATTAGCTTTTTTTTAAAAATATATATATTTTAAAGAAAATTTTCATTTGATATGCTGTCATTTTTTGGCTTGTATTTGATTATTCAGTATGTTTTTAATTACAGCTCAGTAGTTTTTGCTCAGTAAAAAATTAGTTTTAGCATAGTAAATAATTTGAAAAGCTCAATAATTAGTTTAAAAAGTCTCAGTGTTTAAGAGTGTGAGTGTTCTTCTTCCTAGCGGTAGCACTCACACCCCACATCCAGCTCTAAGTCAGACAAAGCGGAAATCACTAACTCAGAAAAAATAACTCGTTGTTTATTTAAAATGATGTAGATCATATTTTGTTAGCACATGAATCGAAATAATTCCACTAGTTCATATTGAAATAAATCAAGTTATAGAGTGTAGTCTTTTGTTTTTCTTTTCGTTTGCTATTTATGATGGACAAGAACCGTTCGCATCGCATTGCATTTTCATTGAATTAAAACGAAGACCTTGTAGACATGTACGCATTATTGCAACTGTATTGACACATTGAAAATATCGACCAAATTTACAATTAACTGAATCGTCAAATAAACCCGAATGAGAACATGTAAAGTAATCTGTACAAAACAAAAAAGATTAATGATAAAATATATAAGTTTTTTCTCTCTTACGCCTTTCACAAAATCGTCCACTAAAGCCAGGCGGACATTGACAATAAGCAAAGTGTGAAGCGCCAAGTTTTCTCTCTTCACATACACCACTATTTTGACAAAGATTAAATTGGCATGCACCCGGTGTACCTGTATATTAAAATAACAATTAAACTAATTATATGAAATAATTTCAATAATATCTACCAATCAATTCACAATTGGAACCAAAAAAACCTATTAATAAAATTTACTCATGTTCTTTTTCTCGTTCTTATATTTTAAATTTTCTATACCGTTTAAACACCAACATTGTGCTTCAATTCCATTATTAGCTGTAGGCACAGGATTACAAACACCACCATTAACACAAGTTATTTTTTGACAAAGTTCTTGACCTATACAAACAATATTAATGAAAAACGAAAAAAAAAAACAATACCATACCAATCGATGTTTCACATTGAGATCCTGTAAAAGCAATTTGGCAAATGCATGTACCTGTTGCAGCATTATAAACGCCTAAATTATTTCAAAATAAAATATGATTTTAATTGTAGTTAAGATTTTTCCTACTACCATGAAGACAATGGACAGGTCGTAAAGTAGAAGTAACAGTTGTAATTGTTGTTGGAGATACAGTTGTAATTGTTGTTGGAGATACAGTCTAAAATGTCCTCTGGAAAGTGTTCTTTCAAAAATGTTCTCGACTTTTCGTCCTTGTAAAAAATGTCCTTCACAGTAAATATCCTTGGTGAAAACCTCTTTGAGAAATAATCCCTCATCCTCAATTGTTATTTTGGGTGTGAGTAAAGATAAGACCCACATTCCACGCTCACACCTATACTTTACACCCATCTACATTCACATCCCATAGTCATACCCTATTACATAGACTATCTTTTTTTATTGCAAATGAAAAATAAAAGAGAATTCAGTTCATTATAATAAATTATACTATATGATTAATATTATCGTGTACCATAGCTCGCGTTTTATAGACAAGATATTTTCATGATGGAAGAAACTTTTTCTGAGGACCATTTTTCGTGGACATTTTTTTAAAGGGGTTTTAGCTTGTTACCGTTGTTGAACTAACACCTAGACATGGTTTTGGAATAACATAATTATATGTACCACTCGTACATGCACAAGCATAAAATGAATCTTGGAACCATCCTGCTTCAATACAAACTCCATTTGGACCACAATGAACATTATCACAAACACCTAGATATTTACAATCTAATCATTAGACTTCAAATCTTGAAAAACATTATTTCTTACGACACGGAGCATTTTTTCGTCCTTGTTCATTAGGACATGTACAAATAACATTGGATTCATGTAACAATTGAATACAGTTATAATTAGGTGGTGTGAAATAACCACCGAGTTGACAAGGATTTGTATTACATTGAACTAGAGATAAATAATAAAAATAAAAATTATTAAAGATTATAATTTTTTCTTAACCTGCAAAAGAGCTTTTCGCTATTGCTAAGACTATAAGTATGAAAAGAATTATGTAGCACATATTTCTAATATGTTATTGATGCTAATACACGTATACAATCGTCAAAAGAAATATTTGAATTTAAATAAAAACAACTATTTTTTAAGTCATATTTAAAGTCAGATCGAATATCTATGCGATTAACATGATCAAATATTTCCCCTATTGACTTTGTATATGATATTTTGTTATGATTCAAAGATAAGACAGCAAGAAAACATGATGTTGATAACCACAAACCAAAATAAAAATTTTCAAAGTCTTTTTTTCTCGTCAAAACTATGAAATTTGAAAAAAAACTAATTTGATCATTTGTTTGAATTCGTATCTGACAAATATATAAATAAAATATTATCTTTTACACTAAAAAAAAACCTCATAAATATTCTATTATCTATAATAGTTTGTTGTAATCAATGATTTGATATAATCCAGATCTAAGTTATGATAAACATCGTTTTCTTTTTCTTCTTTTTTATCCTTACAATCTATATTTATAGTTATGATTGAAATTTTCTATTATACTATCCAATATTTTCATGTATATCAAAATGTTTATGTTACCAATTTTAAATCATCTGATTTAGTTCTAGCGTTCTTCGGGACCAGGAATAGTATCAAAAATGAGCGTGCCTGAAAATCGTTTTGCTTTGTTTTCATATGCATTAAAATATTTTTATGTAAAACCTTTTTTAATTCTTAATAACTATTTTGATATATAATAAGTCTTGCAAAAGTCTTTGAAAAAATGTCGAGACTCATCTCTTAACAACTGAATATTGAATAGACCTGAACCTTTTTTTTATTTGAAAGGCCGAATGTTGGAGAATGAAGCAAACAAGTCAAGATAGTTAAAATTTTTACTTGCACTTTATTATGATGGTTTTTCAAATACGAAGCAACGCTCAACATGTCTGTACGATCTGATTGTTCGTTGTTTTCAGTCACTGACTTCACGACTTCGTTTGTTCTCAAACTTTGAGTTAAGCTTATCTACGAATAGATTCTTTCAATCCCTATCGTTCTATCTATTTGGAATACTTTTGTGGACACATTGTCGATAAGAAAATTCTCTTGTATAATATTCTTTTCACCGAAATATCAGTTTTGTAAAAATTGTGCAATAGAAGAAAACAGTGAATTCGTAAGAGTTCTGAAATTTATGTCTTAGATAAAGTGCTTTTAACTCTATCTAGCGGTAGATTCTAGTCATGATAGCTAGATAATGAAGTGGTATCAATTGCCAAATAAATGTTTACGGATATTACAACACGTGTTTTTTGTAATTAGTAGTAAGTATGCTCTCGCACAAAATAAATCAACTAGACACACAATCTTTTTTTTGGTTTCTTTTATATAATTACTCTTCAAATTTTGTTCATTCAAACAAAAAAAAAAGAGTTAAAGTCAATCAGATGTTACATTGTTGAGACATAAGTTGCGACATTCTTCCAAAGACTATTGCATCGTTTATTAATTAACAGAAAAATAGCAAATATCTTTCAAGAAAAATTAGACAAATTCATTTATTGTTCATTAAATCATAATTCTCTTATTACATTTATTATTTTCTTTGTTATTGTCTTCTTCGAAAAGAATATTATAATCTTCTCCTCTTGAATATTTTGTTTTTCCATGGGTATTGATGATGGGCTAGTATTGTTTTTTTTCTTTTCAGTTGATGAAGGAAATCATTTTTTTCAACTTTACGTACTAAAATACACTGCGAATGATAATTTTATTTTTAATTTAAGGTCATCTCATGTTGCGCAATGTATGACATTGACAGAAGCTACCGTCTGGTAATAATAACTTTTTCTCAAATATGAAAAATGAAATCGTAGTAAGAGTTCTAAAAGTCTTGTCCGTACGAAAACGAGAATCAAGAAAAGTCGTTCTCGCAAAACACTAATTACTTCTTTTAAATATGGTTAAGGATATTAATAATTTATCTAAGATGATTGGATTTTATTAGAATTGAAAGCATGAGTGACAGATACCACAATCGTGTATAAAGTCATACTCTCTTATTGAATGTTAGAATATTTGCTATTGTTGTGTCAGTTCAAATCAGATTTGTAATCGGTAACAGTCAACGGCCAATCTAATAGACCTAACATCTTTTTTTTCTACCGGCTGATATAAATTGTTTTTTTTTCACAAAACAACACTCTTTACTGATGTTGAAGACTATTTATGTGAAGAAAAAAAAAAGTCTAAGGCTGTTTTATTTAGTCAAAATTCATTATAATATACTAATTATATTTTATCCACCCACTTCTATATTAAGTTATACTATTAAAATAAAATTGAATAATCATTTTACATTGTAGTTATCATAGAGTTATTTATATTTTGCATAGACATGAGAGATAGCAAAATGAATATAATGTTTGAAGCAGATAAAATATACAAGTAATAAATAACGTTCGTGTCTTACGAACATTTAATGAATATGAAAAACTAATAGAGAATTTGTACTTCTAAGAAGTTTTTCGTTCAGCAATAGATACTACGAAACAAAAAAAAATTGATTGAAATAAATATTAACAAGCAGTAAAAAAAAAGGATTTTTATATTATTGTTGTACTGATTAGAACATAGACATGGCTAATCGAAGGGTTAATTTGACTGTTATAGAGTCAAAAAAATTAACAATAATTCATACTGCAGTTCGATCGCACGTCTCACCATTTCTACCGGTTCTAATTCTGGTTCAAACGACTCATGGAGAACATTATGTAAAAAATACTGTATGTATGAATGTAACAGATAGATTATTAGAAATGCTATGAGAATATGGTTCTATATTTGTATAAATCACAAAATCAATATTTGATATGATGGAATAGAGTTTAAATAAATAATTCAAAAATTATTTCTTCCGATAAAAATAACTTATTTAAGTAAATAAATTATCATTTTATCTTATCTAGACAACAACAAAAAAAGAGAAAATAATGATTATATTTACTAATTTATCTCTTACTGTAAAGAAGATGAACATAATATCATAAGATTAGTTTTTCCATTGATCAATATTGACATTTCAATCTTCATTACAATATTCTTTACATACGCAAATATCATCGAGTATACAACGAAAAAATAATTTTGATATTGAATCTGTTTTCAATCTATTTATAACTTCATGATTTTTTTAAATATGATTTCTAAACTCAATAGTTCTCAATTATAACCTATACTAATTTTTTTATTATCATACACTCTACCTATATTAAGTTTCATTGACTCAACTATCACCCTATTATTTAAGATTGAGTTAACTCTACATAAATTAGTATATCTATATATAACATTTTACAAAACCTTTTTGGATTTATTTTTGCAATTTTATAATTTTTGTTTAAAGTCAAATTTGATTCCGTATAATAAATTGTTGATTGATACAATAGACATTTTTTCGTAAATCTTCAAGTATAGAAAAGAATTTCTCCTAAATTGTTGCATAGAATAATCTTATTAGCGAAACAGATATATATCGGTACATAGATATCGTTTATATCTTTCATAGTACGATATATTTCTATAAACGATAACGAAGTATCAATTAATTTTAATAAAGAAAACAAGTTTTTCATATGTTTCGAAGTCATTATATTTTCAAAATAAATAAAAAGAATTTAAATTTGTCTAATATTCAGTTAATAAAAAGTAACAATGAATTTATTCATTATAAAACTCGATATATTTTCATTTTTCATCTGTCTAATATGAAAAAATAGATTATAAATTCTTCATTATGCAGTTTAAAAATATAGCATTTTTAATTCTCTAACAAACATTTGGATATTCTATATCGAAAACAAAAAGTATATTGATTTAATAAGACATATGCATGATAAACTTGACGTACAAAAATGCAAATGAAAATAAAACATTTCATTGTTATATTCACTAACAGATAAATATGTTGTCTAAAGCTGATAAAGTATTGAGCCGATAAGTTAGTTATTTGGGTATGTTAACTATTAAATGTTTGACATCTATATATTAATAACAAGAAAAGAAAGTATCACTATTGGTAATTATTTTATATCTTTACAATGTTAACAAATATGTCTTTTCCAGTGAATGCATTTAATTCAAGTACAAATTAATATTTTTTTTTAGTTCTTCAATTGTTCTATTTCTATTATTCAAGCGAATGTAATTGAATTAGGATGTCTGCTTACTGTTTATCTTTTTGAATTAAATGTCATGGGATCTGAACAAAAAAAAAACAACATTTGTTTACTGTTATTATTTCATATAAAAAAAGCGACATTTGTTCTGGAATTTTTCTTTTGATTAATAGAAATTATTCGTCAACTTAAAGCATGACTTTAGTTGACAATTTCTTTTCCTTCTTTTTTTGTTTTAGATCTGAAACTTCATAATCGTCAATAATGCAGTTTATTACACTTTTTTGTGTACTGTGTCTTCTTGTTTTACAGGTAAAGTTAATACAATAATGAATATAATGATGATAATGTTAATAATTTTTTAGCCAACAATAAGTGTTACATCATTCGCTCCGTTTCTACAAAGTCCTGATATTGAAACACCAAAACTACATGTTGCTAGACGGTTACGAGCTCCACTTATGGGTCGTTCAATCATAACACCATTGAATGACGATACTTTCGAATTAATTAAAAATGATACAAATGATATGAATAGTAGTGATGAATATGACATTATGAAACCCAATAAACAAAGTTTACTTTTGGCATTATTAAAACGACAAAGACGGATTAATTCGAAAAGAAAAGGACCACTTTTTGGCTAAACTATATTTGAAATAAATATATATTAAGATATCGACATTAGAATAACCATCATTATATAATCGATATTGTTCTTTCTTCTTTTTTCAACATCACTATAATCAATAAATAAATAAATAAATCAACTTTGAAATAAATAAATATGTCATTGAAATCTAATGAAATAATGAAATTAATTTGAAATTAATTAGAAATTTTCTCAAAATCTTTGATTAGAATAAACCTTAAGAA